CCCTCATGATAGATATAATAAAGTATTGAAAAGTAGTATAGTTATGATAACAGAAAGAGAAGGAATGTGAGCTTGAAGTAAAGGAGAAAGAGCTTGATTAGTATTAAAGTAAAATAGTAGAATATTTATAACTAAATAAAGAGAGAGATTATTAAACAAACTCAACAACTCAAATCTCAGGAAAGGAAGAAATATACTGTATATGAGTACTAGCATACTAGAAACATAGAGATAGTGTGAGAGTGGAGAGAGTAGGGGGGAAATAGTAGAATATAAGTAAATAATCCTAAGTTACTATAATAAGCCTGTTCCTGTAGATAAAAACACAAATTTTATTAGTAAATAAACTTTATATAACTAATAGAGTAGAATCACCTTTGTTTCCTATCCAATTAAGTCTAGATTGAAATGAAGCTGAGTTTGTGTACTGAGAATATGCACTTAGATACAGTGGGCAAATTTCTTTCCCACGGGTGGCCCACATGTGGGTCTGACGCGTCGAAGCACAACTTTTGGATTGTCATTTTATAAAATCAATGAAATATTTATTTTTCAGTTTTTTACAAAAATAAAACGAACGTTTTTTAGATAAGATGTTGTAATATATAATTATATATTTTTTATGTTGTAAAACAGTTGTAGTAGTCAATAATATGAGAAATGGCATTAAATGGCCCACATGGGGCGCCGCGACAGTACTCCATACACATGGTTGAGAATACTTATAGTCTGCATTCCAGCCTCCACACTGCTCTCCAGATGGTCTGAACTGTCAGAAGAATGCCCGTCGTAACCACTGAAATCTATTCAAACTATCCACACCATCTGGGTAAGGCGACTTTCCGTAGTGTCAGTGGTCAGGGCATATTTCAAATTAATCGAAGAAAGTCAATCCATAAGACCTCTAGTTGTCCCGATGATCGGCTCTCTAGCCTAACTGAGAATGCCTTTATACCTTAGTAATCGTAGATATCCTATCTTAACGACATATATATGGGTAACAAAGCTACCTTGAAAAGGCTCTCTAGGGAACATTAGGGACAGGATGGGACGTTTTCATAGGTCTGGTGATAGCCGAGAGCCCGCGAGCAAAAGGTGCGGAGTTACGGCATCAACACTGTTCAAGTGAGCACGATGCGCGAAACTTTAGAAAGCGGGTCGGCGTTTCCTGATTCCATTCCGCCATTCGAAAGCGGCCTGTGAGGGCGGTAAAAGACACCGTCAAAGAAGTCGAGCTCCACTGTTCTGGTTTGATCGGTTCAATCAGCGGAGGATGATGGATTGTTCGGGAAGCTGGCCACTTGCCGAACAAAGTAAGAATATGCAGCGGTTTTGGCTTGTATCTGCTGATTTTTGTCTTTCTTCAGTATGTTCCAAGGTAGCATGTTGTGATTGAACGTCGATTCATAATGTGTATTTCTTAGTTGACGGCAGCGGTAATCAGAAATAACCAGTCATGTGATTGACACAACAACAGCAAATTCAAACGAAGGCAGCACATCCATCTTGTCTTCGACTATCATGTCGCAGCTCAAGGCATATTATCTTTGTTAGTTAACGTTCTGTCTCTCCATCCACGACCAAGGAATACCTGTCGACAATGCATCATACTGAGTTCTCAAAGCAAGCACTGTGCATATCATTGGTGGAACCTGGATGCTAGAGGATAAACTACGGGCATACTTGCATACTTTCCCACTCATATTGGTCCTCCGAAACGCTGAACATGGCTTCCTTATCCCCCTACTAATAGATTCTTGCGTGAAAACCGGGAATGGGGTGATCATCAATCTGTCACTCACTTCTAACGCTCATTTTTTACGAACTAAGAAGTCTTTCCTTTATTCTGTGACTACCTCGAGCAAGACTTATCAGAAGCGGCATGGTGGAAAAAAGGCGACAAAATATCAAATTGGATGGCATGCACCCCGCCATACCTAGGCGGAATAAGATGACTGCTTTGCCAGGATTCCGACCACTACAAGCTTACGGGGCTTCGATTTTTACCGAGATAAGAGGACTCACTCCGAAAGGATGTAACTATCGTTCTAATTCGGGGTTTTGTTTTCTGATTCGAGATTCATTTCCGAAATGATTTACTAATAAAGGCACATATAAAAATGCCCGTAAAGCTCAGACTGGGCTATATTGACTAGAGTATTACAGGCTACGCTTGGATCTCCGTGTTCAGAACTGGTAAAAAGGGCCTTGCTTTCGAAGCTCGCAGAAACCGCACGGCCTGCACCTGCTAGAATTTGACTTCATGTCGCAGCAGCACCTCTCCGTCTCCGTGTTGTCTAAACGCTGTGTACAGGGCCGGTATCTATTCTATGTAATTCAAGCTAGAAACGCGTACTTCACGCGCTGTGCACTAGAAGAGTGGCGAGCATGCCTCATGATTCAATCATGTCCGCTCCCCTTGGGACTGACCGCGGTCTTATACATTTCCTAGCGAGCTTTCATTCGTCCTTCCTGAACTCCGAATTCGGAAACGAATCCAACGCGAGTGTTCGGCGAAAGTACAATAGATTCTGCGGAAGCGCTCCTGAATGAATTATTGTCCCAGTAACCGGAATCCTCCGACCCCCTTTTAGATAACAATCAACTCGAAGAGGGAGAAACATGATGCAATCACTGAATACAATGGCCTGCAAGCTTTCAGACAGTGAGTAGCAGGACAAAACGACGATTGCGGATCGCTTAGACGTAAAGTCTTCGGCCTCTTCCCGAGCCCGTTCAATTGAGATCTGCGCGCGAGCAGTAGAAGAGCGAAGCGGAGCCAAGTTCTGGGGGTTGCCGCGTGCCAGGAACGCATAAAGGAAGTACATTTTGGCAGGATCCGTTCTTCTGGGGTTTGGTCCATGAGTTGAAAAGGTCGTTAAACAGGGCAACTACACAGCCTCTCGACTACCGACGTTGCGCAGCATAGTAGAATGCGGTATAACGCATAATTTTGTAAGGCTTAATTGCGTTTTCAATTGAGGATACCTACTGAAATGCATGTGATAATGTATAACGAGCCAAATGACATTGGATTCATTCCTGGACCGACGTTGAATGCTATTACATATGTTAGTGTACGCAAGGGGGCCCAAATCAAGGGACTAAAAATCCAGGAGCCCTCGAGTGATCACGGCGATCGGGAGAAAGTGAGAGCTTCAAGGCTCCGAGGAGTCGGCGCATATCGCCGTCGAGAAAAGCGCTGTATATTGTAGGTGGCACACGTAGTTATCATTGGAGACATCCCATTCCCGCAAACTAATGTAAGTTCCTAGCGCACCGTTTCATGGTACATGCGGAAGCGACTCCAACTACAATACAGACATATGCTTGCGGCCTCCTACAGTTCATTTATCATTCATTTGGTACTCATCACTGGTTGCACGCAAAAGCATGGGCGGCACGCGCTACGCAACATCGGAAATGAAGAAGGATGTCCCTGATTCCTGGCCTTGAGACATAGAAGAAGATGATCAGCGATTCAGAGATCTTGTCCAACGCGAGAAATAGAAGAAACGGCTTCAGTTTGAGAAATCTAGATGGGAACCGGGAGAATACACCTGTATGTAGGAAGGCAATCCCGACTTGGTCGGATGCAGCAGAGGAATGCTTGGACAGAGGGACAAACCATTGAGCAGAATTGGTCGAGGTAGGGCCAAATCGAACTACGATACTAGCTCGGTACACCTTCGGGTCCGTCGAGCCTCAGCTTTTGGGTCACTGTCAATGGACATTATGCCTTGCTCACCTTCTTTGAAAAGAGCACTCCATGAAAATCGGAAGTGCGTCGAGAGCATATCCACTGGAATCCGGAGTTCCCTGAGACTATTCATAGCAAATCCTTTTGCTAGAATGTTATAATGGCAATCTTGCAAAGGACGAATCAAAGACGATGAAGCAAAGAAACAAGAGATTACTTTCCTAGTCAAGTCGACTGAGCAGCCATAAAATCGCAATCCAGCCACCTTTACTCATCCTCGGACACTGGTCTTCCGGCCTGGGAAATGACCTCGAGAACTTCGTGTCGAGCGCTATATTTCGATACGTCCGACAGGCGATGAAAGTATTTAGGGATACCAGATGCTACTGATCCATACAACACATGGGCGCAAGGAGCCCTGAGTTCGAGAACGAGAAGTTGATCGGGGACATAATATGGAGGTACACTGTAGCTACACATAGCACGGAACCTCATTTGCACAGATATCTGGCCTAGCATGAATAGTCTGGTAGAGCAGAAAACAACAGAGCAGAAGACGACGGATTCGCCGATTAGATTCCGCTGTTTATCGAGGGCGTGCAAAATGTTGCTTAATCCTCCGACAGAAAATCAAGATAATGCGATGCACTAATTACTTCGACACGCCAAGATGCGAGTCATCGGGAATCCCCACGGAAGGAGAAGGAGGTCGAACATTCGTGTTTCAGTTCCACGTTGGCGCCGTCAGCAATACAACTTGTGATATGCATAGACACGTATGTATAGTATGTGCGTATGAGAAGCGCTTCAGGATAATTTCGCAGGTCAAGTCTAACGTGTCCTTGGTTGGCAGATCGTTGCGTAGAATACACAACCCAGTCGACGAGGGCTCTGGCGACTGACAGCTGGAAGGGGGCTGGGCAGAGCTGCTTCCTTTAGTCTCTCAACCATCTGTTGACCAGTCTTTCCTCTCAATGCGCAGTAACAGCCAATTGCCGTTTATAGCCGAGTATCCTTGTTGGTCCAAGTTGCATCAGTCAGAACGTAAGAACGCGTAGCGCCAACGAGTTCGTTCGGCTAACCATTCAGGATATGACAACAGTGTCGGAAAGATCCAGTCAGTTTTTACAACTGACCGACGTGCGGGATGCGAAGTGAGAAGTGAAATGAAGTGAGGTCACTTGGAAGCCATGACGAACTGCATCCGAATGATATTGATCTTGATCGAATCCTGACGCGTCCTATCAACGCCACTGTCATCGTCATCGCAAATTAGCACGCCTTCAGAGGTTAAATAACTTAACAAATAATAATACTACACATACTTCATTGATCATCAAGCTTCTCATCCCCCGTCTTCTTAAAAATATCACTGTTACGCTCCAGTAGGTATTTTGAATAGAACTTCCCCGTGCCCCTGTGATGCGAAATCACGCAGAAAGTCGCCAAGTGTTAGCTATTCCCTGAGGACCTGAAACGCATTGCGTACGTATATATAAATATATTTCCACCTGTGTTTATAATTTTATTCAAAGCATAGAGACGTATATTCATGTACAAATTTCTGATCATTTTGCATGCATTCAAATTCCATTTCCATAGTACGGAATACAAATCATTTCTGTTGACCCGACGTGCTGTTAACACTACAAATTACTGAAGCTTTAGAACAGTATTTATTATTAATATTGATGTTAATTAGGTATTATTTGTCTTAGCAGTACAAATTATTACGTATATGTGATTTATCCCAAATAATACTGTATAATCAACATGCTATTGTAAACTATGAAAGTAGGGCCATAGATAGAAAGACAGAGGAAACTATAGAAATCTTTTAAGATTATACTTAAATATGTTATAATATATAGGTTCATCTTTACACTTCATAAAGTCTTTAATTCAGTTAAATATTCTCTATCATTAAATTGAAGTGTAGAAAGGACAGTGTATTTCCTACATAATACTGTCTCATTACAACCTGTACAATAGAAAATGTGACCCCAAAAGTTTTTCGTATTCAACTCTTTTTAAAGTACTTCAACTACTAGAAAGAGAGCTGCTCTGACATAATTTGGAGTATCTATTGATTAGCGATCAATATAAAAACTCAATAGTCTGACGAATTTGTACAGCTAAAGGCAATTCTATGTACTTACCAATGATAAGCTGCATAAAACATCAGAAACTAACGTAAATGGTGTGAGAATGCAAAAATCTACAACAGGTAATTGATGCAACAAAGTCAGTATGGGCTGGTGGGCCCTGGACTCGTGTGTGCATTGTCAGAATATCTGAATATCTTACAGTCCCACACTATGTATGTCCGAGTCAAAGAACACATCAGAGAAGACACTCTCGAAGAGATCCGTATCTCGATAATGTCTATCTCTATCCACAAGGTCCCTTTCGTAAACTAAACAAGGGTCGTCCTTCGTTTGATACGCGGGAAATATTTATGAAATACACAAAATACTATGAAACGTGTTGATACAAACCTACGCACAAATGGCCAATGACATGCAATTCTTTTTTGGTTTTCTATTCAATATCTCGCCGTGCCGAGAAAGTTTCGGCTTCGTGGCGCTCGCGCCTACTTCATCTTCCGTAAATACATACGATACGATCAACTGAATTATCTGAGTTATTTGAATTATTAGATTATTAGATTATTGGATTTTTTGAATTTCGAATTCGGCCTTTCGTCGGGGGCGTTCGAGTGGTACGGGCGTGATCGGGTTTGTGTGAGTGATCAACAGCATTTAAATAAACATGGCTGTTTTGATTTTTGTTTCCTGCTTGTGTTGTTTGGGGAGAGGAATGCTGTTGCCGTGTTCCTCGTGGTAGACTTCCGACTTCTGACTTCCGAAATTTCACTTCTCCCTTTACTTTACTTTACTGTACTTTACTTTACATTCAACATGAGGAATCATGGAGGTATCAAAAAATGTTCTTCACAATTATCTTATATAAAAATAGAAAACGAAATACAATTTAAACATACGCAGACACGCAGACACAGACACCACTCCGCTCCGCGCCGTCTTTCCTCTTCTCTCCTCTCCTCTCCTCTTCCCATCCCTTCTTTTCATCCCGCATCTTTCGTAACTCTTATTGAAAGTTTGGCGCAAAATTTGTAAATTCCACGTATGAAAATGATAATTGGTAATATAAATAAATTGATTGACTCGTTCTAATGCTAGAACTCGGGACAGTCTAACCGAAGTTAAAATACGGGAAAACGACTGTTAGCGGTGCAAAACGGAGTGGATAAGGAGGACGACGAGCTCCTGGAGCTTAAATCTCTGTGAGAGTGAGAAATAACCAACGCAACGCTCGTTGTTCCTCAATTACTTTTGCAAGTAAGTTAAATATTATTAAGTTAGTTCCGTTATATCCGACAAAAAGCTTGGCAGCTACAACATTTGTCGAAGTTCACTTCGTGAGAGTGAGAGTGAGAAATAAGAAATGCAGACAGAAATGCAGTGCTCCTTATTCGTTCGTTAATTAGTCAGTTCCGTTATATCCGACGGGATCCGCAAATAGATTTTAAAACAGCGAAAAACGCGAGTGGAAGCTCGTCTAGAACGTGTCCGCGCATATATATATATATATATATATATGCATCTGTGCGTTGCGGAGACCTTGTCCAGCTAGCTAGCAGAAGAAAGAAGGAGGGAAGGAAGGAGCAGCGTTTATTATTTTAGAAATCCAAAATCCGCACATACTTGGTACCGGATAGTAGCAGTAGTAGCAATATACGCACGAAAGGTAAGGGAAGTGAAATTTCCGAGGCGAAGTTGTTACAATTCAATGCGTTTCGAGGCGAGGCGAGGGTATATACATGCGGAAGAACACCATTGAGCGAAGTAACACCAGACGAAGTACCACAAACGAAGATCACGGCGACTCTGAATCCCTGAATCTACAAATAAGTAGAGGAAAGGGAAAGAAGGGGGGTGAGGAGTTGCTTGCAGGGAAGCCGAGTCTCAAGAACCGCAATCTCAGAGAATAAGACCAGACCAGACGATGGGACGGGGTTCTTTCGTTAAACCCGGGAATTTGGTGCGGGAACAACGGAACGTTGAACGATGCTAGAGTTTTATTTTGTACAAGAGGGAAGAAGCCTGAGGGAGAAGAAGAAGAGTTTGAAGAAGAGTCCAATGTCGGCTTTGCCTGTTGCGTGTCGAGCGTCGGATTTGGGTATACTGGATTTGGTGTCTGTATAAATAAAGTGAACGAAGGCGAGGTGCCGAGCGGGGTGGCATAGGATAGCGTGATCGGTTTCATTGTAGCAGCGGCGGTGTATAAAACATGACTTCCCTTCCTTCGGCTTCGGGAACGAGAGCAGGAGAGGGTACCAGGAAAAAAAATTACTAAATTACAAATCACAAAATTCTAGACACGGACATGAGTCGTTGGCGGAGTACGAACGGGAATACGGCTGTCACAGCCTGGCCATAGTTTTTTGAGGATTTTCAGTTCCTATCAAATTGTCACTGTGTTTCGGCTTCGGAATGGGTCGATGACGAAGGTGCCGGGAATACGGCTTTCACAGCCAGTCGGGGACGGATTTGTTAATTTGGTCCGCGTTTTTGGAATTTCAGTTTGTTTCGTCAGTCACCACACGGATGGACCGTTTCGGGACGGATGCGCGGCAGTGTCAATGTCTCATAGTCTCATATTCCCATAGTTTCATCTCGCATATTATTTTTAATATTGTTGTGTAATTTTGTATTGACGCCGTCATCCCGCCAGTGTCAACCGACGACGTACACATCTCCGCATCCGGATGTGGAATCACCACAGACACAGAGGTGTCACGCCGTTTCCGGATTGGATTGGCAGAATTTGGATTGGAGAACCGACCGGATCCGGGTTTCGGTATTCGGTATTCGGTATTCGGTATTCGGTGTGTACGTTAACGGTTACGCCCCGAACGTGCCTACGTACACGGCACCTCCAGGACATATAAAACGGGAGATACGCTTGACATAGCTGTTGAACAGACGGAATACAAAGAGACGGGATCCCACGTCGGCGCGGGGCGTGGACTTGTAACGTATAGGTCGGCATCGACATCGGCATTGACACCATGATTGAGTGGATGGATAGTGTATTTGGATAGAGACCGAAAGAGGAAGTCGGGGGCGAGTAACCTTAGGGAGAGACATTCATTGTTGATTCAATCACCAAGAAGCCACGGACAGGACGTGTGTTGTATGATGTATGTGCGAAGTAGAGCGAAGAGGCGTTAAAGGGCGGCTAGCTGGAGTAAGCAGCCGGGATCATCTGGACAGAAGGGACATCGGGCGAGTGCATCTACATCTGGACACACCATCGCATCTGAGATCTGACCAGTGCAGAGGAAGATGTACGTTATGGTGCACTGCCAGGGTCGATACTGTACTCCTTGCCTGCCATATTCGTCCAGTGAATAAAAACAGTGTCCATTCCGTTATCCCTCCCGTCTCAACGAGTATATATATTCGAGTCTGAGCCTTACCCCCGCCTACTCTTGGCGTCTCTCCTCTGTGCTCGCCGTCGTCGCTGTCGCCTTTGTCGTCGACACCAGTACTGCCTAGTGCTCTGCATGTCCGCTACCTTCTCAGCGCCGCCGCCTGCACCTGTCTCTTCTTCTGGCTACCGTCTCCGCCCAGTCCACCGCGACTCCAATCCCCCCTCCGTATCGGCCTCTCCCTCTCCGCCGCCCTCCACAACATCGACATTCAGCGGCACGCATACAGGCACAACAACACCACGTACAGCAAGCATGCCTCCACAAACCATGGTCCCGCAAGCTCAACAAGACCCACACGCACTCCCTCCTCTCATCCTCTCGCCCACTCACCCAAACGCACCTCCACGTCCATGGTCTCCCTCCGCCGGCGTCCGTGGTGCGTCCACCATCCTCCCCCCTCTTCCCACTCCTATTAACCTCGGCTATTTTATCTAATTAGAAATTGACAACGCGGTTCCTCCACCGCGCCGCACAGGCCTCCCAGCACTAACCGGACACGAGCTCATGGCTCTCTTCCCAGCTCCCTCGCCCTCCTCACCTCCGACATACGCGGCTGTCAATGGCGCCTCTCCCACCCCTGGTGGTGCAGCAGCTATGCCTATCCCAATCCCCACGAGCGGATGGTTCGCGAGACAGGAACGTGCATTCTTTGCTAAGGAGGGGAAGGAGATTGTTAGGTTGAAGAAGGAAGAGGCATTAGGGCTTAATGCAGGTCCGAGTTCAAGTGGGAGTGGAACAGCAGCAGCAGCAGGAGTGGTGCAGGGGAGTCCGAGTAGTGGGGTTGGAATGAAAAGGGAGAGGGAACGAGAGAGAGAAGTCGGGAACGTGAAGCGTTCACCATCGTTGTCTAGTCCCGCGCCAGCACATCCAACACCGTCATCACACCCGCCTCCACCTCATCACTCGCATCATCATCACTCAAACTCCCAACCACAAGTCCTCACACTCACCCAGCCTCTCCCACCTCAATCCCAATCCCAATCTCACTCGCATTCGCATTCGTTATCTCAATCTCAGACATATCGCTCACCCATCCCTCCACCCCCGCGCGACCGCGAGCCAATAAGGGAAAGAGAACGAGAAAGGGATAACGAAAGGCGACGGGATGGACGGGATGCAGATGGTGACGTTCAAATGCGGATGGTGAACCCTGGACCGGGAGGAGCACCACCAGCACCACCGATGAGGGCACTTGGACAAACACCCCCACACGTCCACGCTTCACATCCTCAACAACAGCAACCACCGAGGAGCGCATACCAGCAGGAACATCACACACGTTCTGTAACACCCTCCGCACGAGGGTATGCCCCCGCTCCTCCTACCCCGTCAGCTCCAGTTCCACCTCCACAACATCAACATCAACAACCTCCGCAAAATGGAGGATATGCATACACGCATACATCCCCACCACCCTCCCGTTCTTCATATACCCACCCTCCACCTCCACCTCCACCACCCGCTCACCCACAAGAACGGCCTTCGTACAGTGTTCAACCACCCGCTCACCATCCACATCCTTCGTACAGTGCAACGCCTCCCCAACCTCCACCCCAACACCATCAACACCAACAACCACCACAATACTCTGCTTCACCACCATACAACGCTTACTCGCATCCTCATTCTCAACAACGGGATCGTGAAGCCGAACGTGAATGGCATCAGGAACAGCAGAGGGGACAAGGAGGACGAGAAGCCTACACACCAAGTCCTCCTCGTCGGGATGGTGGTGCTACTCCAGTCTATGCAGAGGGAGGAGGTCCTCCATCAGCTTCTTACCCAGCAGGAAATACGTATTTGGCTGCAAGTGAACGAAGAAGGGCAGGAAAACATACAAGACGCGTCGTCGTCAAAGCATAAATTCTGTGTTTCTGTAGTACAGTTAGTTATCAGTTTTGTGTGAAACAACGATAATTTTGGGATCTCTTCTGTTCTGTTCTTTCCTTTTTTTCCTTCTTCCTTTGTCGTAATCATGTCTTTGGTTTTTTCGATTACTTGTTTGTCTTCTACTGGTTTCGTAGACTTTCTTTCATACCGAACACGTATGACCTAATGGAAAAATAAAATAATAATACATACTGATTTCTCAGTCTCAAAATAAATAAATAAAATCCATCATTATCCGTCATTAGTATTTTGCAGTGACATAACATTGAATGTGCACAGAGTAACTTAAGACTACAGTCTGTAGCATAGCAGAGTCATGCAAAAATCAAAAAGAAAATCAAACTATTAGCTAATACTTATACACTGAGTAGATACTTAGATAGATTCTCAGAAACACTAGTTTTGCTTGCTTGGATAACTCTAGCAAAATTCTGACAATAGTAGAATTTAACTCAAAAGTAGATTTCTCTCAGTTTGTGTGAGTACACAATAATTTAGAACAAAGGCTGAAATCAATCATGTTTTAGAGAAGCAGAATTTATATATATAACAAGGAAATAAGTAGTAAATTGATTTTTTTAGTTAGACAAATGTTCATATTATATATTAGGGAGTTTTTAAAGTTGAATATCCAAGATTGAAATAAAAATAAAAATAAATTACAAAGACATTTATTTAGATAAATTCCATCTAGAGAAACTCACTACTATACTACAATATGTAGAAGAGAGAGAAATATAAGATAGATGACTCTTGTATATTTTCATTTGTATGTCTGTTTACTTATTTGAACAAATTACAGTATAAATATATTCAACTTAAGTAAACTTGAATTTATGTGTACTAACTTTATGTTTGCTCATGTATACAAGAGTTCCGGGTACTGGGATGAACTAGCACTGCTTCTCCCAAGTTATACTTTACTAGACCATGCTATATATTGTATATTAGTACCCATATATATTATCCTTTCAAGTGTCTAGTACTTGATACTATACTTGCTTCATTCTCATCCTTTCCTTCCTACATTTCGAGAAACAGGACATATAGAGGTATATTACAATGTTATAGTAGCACACGACAAACTTCGTTTTCTCCATCCAAACTCTACACATTACGATTTCTAGCTTCCCTGCTCTTTTCCTTCCTTCCTTCCTTCCTTCCTTCTCTTCTCTTCCCTTCTTCTTTACATCTCGTCTTTATTATGTCCCTTCCCCTCTTCCCTTCCCACCCTTTCCTTTCGCACATCCGTACCGAACGTGCCACCAGATAGAAGTTCGATATGTGGTATAGTACCAACGTGAATGCATTCTCCAACGGATCCACCAGTCCATATGTAAGGGACTTTAAGGAAGGCAATTTTCTCTCTCACCCCGCCCACTTGCCATCTTATTTACTCATCTCCTCGGTATCGGTATGGCTTCTGACCCAGTTTTTTTTTCGACTCGGGCTCGGAGTTGGGGTTTTCTTCGAGTACATTGAATCCGGACCCTGGTCATGTATATCCTTGCTCCATGCTGTCCGGAGTACTCAGGGTTACGAGACACCGAAGACATGTTGAATGTGAACAGGGAACAGACGTGAAGCATGCGCGCGTATTTAGCTTGGGCGTTGCCCTATCGCAAGCAGGCGATAGGTGACAAACAGGAGTAAAGTTTCGATCATTCACAGTTAACGTACAGCGGCGTCTGCAAAAAAAAGGTATACAAATGACTGAACCAAAGCCAAGTCCCTAAAGGTGAGAGGGGAAGGTCGACAGAGGATTATCCTGGTGAATCCGCTCGGGAGATTTAGTTCTCGTAACCACCGTATTACACTTTATGCTTTTTTCTAACACTCTCGTCAACCCATCATCCACTCATCCAGGTCTGTTACGAAAAAGCGGACAAAAGCGGGGAGCGTCGTGCGGGAATTCAGGCAACTTCAGGGAGGCATTTAAGGTTCAAGTAAAGGGTTGACGTCAGGACCCAGGAAGCCGGCGGGAGGGAGTGCTAACGCTTTAGTCAGTCCCGTCAGTTTCTGCCATCGCGTACTATTTTCAGGACTTTTCTTTGATTTTATGAAGTTTGTCCCTGCTTGAGCTGCGCTGCGACCGTGAGCGTGCCTAGGACAAGGGAGGACAGATTGGCGAGCAGAACACTGCGCGCATCTTCCTATACATTAGATCTGAAACCTCGCTCGCTTGGTCCACGGCTTTAAGCATCGTTAACGGAGCGAACAGAAATAGGTATCGAGAAAAACCTTTAGCCTCGCTCGGTCCAACGCGGTGAGACAGCATATTGCGTCAAGACTCATTTCTCTTAAGATGACAGGCTCCTCCGCAACGCCACGGTCCTCCCCCCAAATACCACATACACGCCATTAGCATTCTGTCCGCCAAACTCCGAGTTAACGTACCACTATTTATAGATACCCTTCTTTAGTCGATTTTGCAATTCTTTTGTATGCAATAGGGTGCATTGGAATGCAGGATGCGCGGGTGCGCGAGTATGGCTCGCTTTGTATATTGGTTCCGGCTCGTCAGTTTCACACTGGAGAGTTCCTGGTTGAAACACTGATGTCAACAACACATCAATCAAAAAAGCAAGATGCTTGCGGCGAATCCAATGCAGTTCGGCGCAAGCGTTGCTATGTAATCGCGTGTATTTGTTAACGAATAAGCCCTCGGAGACGTTTGTACTGTCCATCGGTCCGTGCTGTACGGCGAATCTATCTTATGCAGATGATGGACGCGGAGAGACATCTGTCGCATGCGCGTCTCGACCACCCCCGCCGTATTCGAAATTGCGCGAAGCGTGCATGCCGCCAGTGCTAGAAGTATCACGGTCATGATGATGATGCAGTCAAAATGTGGCATCGCGTTAATGGTCTTGCTGACCGAGCTCGGTGGATGTCGTAAATGGCTGCCGTCACCAGTGGTACATCTGCGGTACAGGTCATCTGCATTTGCAATTTTCCCTCTGCGTGTATGTGTGTGCGTTTTCTTTTTTCCCTTCGTTTCTAACCGGCCCCACATCTGCCGTACGAGCGCGTCCTGTCATAAAACGTTGCTCCGCCTCCGGGCCGCTTTGAACTTCGTCATTTGCTTGGTCGATCCGTGACCTCCACCCATGCCGTTAGTATAAACGAAGCACTCAAGGGCAAGAATATTACATACTCCCGCGAAGCTACTGAAATGCGAGCACTAGGCGAAACATTCGGATATACTCACTTTGAACACGCATACATGCGCCTATGGAAAAGATCATCGCCATCGCATATACAGCTACATTTTTTGCGTGAGCCCTGGATGTGCTTTTAATGATTGGCAGTGGCTGAATTTGGCTTTGAAGGGTTTTCGTTGCTTGGTTCCTTTTCGCGTGTGGCGGCACTTCTGCGATGATGGAACAAGACACCGGTCGGAGGCAAGACGCGTAGAATGTTGGCAACTAATGATCTCAGACAAGTATAACTTTGGGTTTAAAATTGTGCAAGAAGCTGACCAACTTCTTTTTGTCAACCCGCATCCGTAAGGCGATTGAAAGTTTTTTTGCCACAGTCCGCCCTTGAGCTTGTCCACAGATGATTTTAGTTTCACGAAGAGTGCGGGGTGTGCGTAATTGCGCGTTACGTCCGTGCGACTGATGTTTGTTGGTCTCGTCTTGAAGCCTAAGTTGACCGAGCGGCATGCCATACATGCAAGGTTGCATCGCGTGGCGGCGGAACTCCCCGCAAACAGCTCATCGCGAGCGAATCTGGTGGCCCATCACCGTCAGCAGAATGAGTCGCTCTCTTTTCCTGTTCTTGGTCTTTGTGCGCCCATATCTCCAGAAATAGCACAGATAACAGATCCAAAGCGTTCTAAGCACCCTATCAAGAATACCCGGGCGTTCGTTGCGATGCTTTGCACGAGATCACGAATCTTATAGTTGAATCCTTCGGACTCGGAGCCAGATTTTGAGCGCGGGGTAGAACGGCACATGTACACTTTTCTGGTCAGCGGATCTGCGGCTCTTGATTGATGCGTTATGAAACGATCCCAATGCAGGCTACCGTGTGGTGTGTTCTCTTCGCAGGTGTCTCAGGGACCCGGAAAATGGCGAAGGAGAGCGATGGGGAAGCCATCGAGATGATGGAGGGATAAAGCATCCGTGCCTGGTTTTGTGCGCGCGATTCCCGAGCCTGATTCCTTCGCATCGCTGATCACAAATGATCGTCGAGCGTATGATAGAGTTCGGGAAACTTTGAGCGAGAAGCGCGTCCCTTTACAAGATGCCGGCACTACCCTCCGGACGAAGACGCCCAATCGTGATGGGCTCCGTTAGTGGCAATAGTACTGGGGGTCCGCTTTTCGGTTGTGAGACGCGGTCGAGCGGACTTTGAAAGTTTGCCATTTTAAGCCGAAATCTGGTGATCAAAGTGTCCGCCTTGCTTATACTTAACTTGAAAAATCAGTAGTCATAAAAAAATCAATATTAAAAGAGTATATTGATACATGTTATACTTATTAATACAATTCATGTGTTATACTTGAGAGAAATGTTATACAGAAATTTATTTGGCTAAAGTAAAGTGTAAGCTACAAGTGAATCAGTAGTGATCAGCAGGCTATTGCAAAGGAACGACGCGAGTGTGACAAAATATCAGCCAAATTCTCTGTGACAATGTGTGACTACAGCCATTCTGGCCTCATTCTTTATTTCATTCCTCATGCAGAGGTCAGTTAATTCACACGAAAACATTACTATAAATCAAAATAAATCATTATTAAAAGATTTACAGAAGGATTTTGTCAGAAGAAAATTATTGCTCAAGATATAGTTGATTTGGAGTGTAAAACAGTTATATTTTAGCTAGTTTCTAATAAAATCAAAATTCCTTCTGTAAAAAGTTTCTTTATCATCTTTTTAATGCTATTCATATTTTTTTGTCAATTTAAAATACATGTGGGGAGCAGAAAATCTTTTCTACAAGGACAATTTTAACCCGGACACTTGTCTATCAGTTTACTGCTTAGTTTGCCGCTTAGTTTGGTAAGTTTTCAAACTCCGCAGGACCGCGCGTCAATAGGGAAAGACCCCCAATAGTACGGCAACCCGGTGCGGCACGTGTCCCAATTGGCGCTCGTTTGTTGTATGGGGAGTTAGGTCGCCGATACAGTACATCTCTCCCTGTTATCTTTATTGCTACCAATGGCTATATGTATACGACTCCATAGTCGGTCGTTGCTCGCCGTTGACCGAGTTACGTGCAGAGCAGTACTTGGCAGGTTCGCCTCAGAGCCTCGATACGTCATGCCGTTATCTCTATTCATTTAGAGGTAAAGAATTGCGACTCCTATGCAACGCGAATTGCTGAAACACGCGTTACCGGGACTAGCGGCACATGCGATTCTGATGCAATATGTGACCGCCGCATGTTACGAGAGCGACGAAAGCCGATGAAGTCCTAACAGTTACTTCGTTCCCTTCTTATCTCGGATATCATCGCCCCGACGACCAAACTCTCACATCCAAACCTGTCCTAAACCAGTTCAAGTTGGTGCGTGCTCCTTCGTTTTATTATGAATGTGTAGAACCTACGTCTCATGCACATGTGCTCCTGAACGATAACACAATTAATGTCATTTGTGAAAGACAGTGTGTATTCGGTTCACGATGCTCTGTGCCTATCTTCGGAGCTCGACAGGATACTCTCGGGGCGTGTATCCGTCTGCACGGCGGAGGTGCAAATGGGTCGCTCCGGTCATGAAGAAAGCGTTGAAGCATTTCAATTTGTTCCGCCTTCTCGCTCAGAAGTCTCAAACCGAGAGGGAATGTGAGTCGCGTGTTCTTGATGCGCTATTGAGACTAGAGAATCAGTACACGGCCATCCGTTAGCCGATAGGGATGTTGAGACACCCTCCCCACGTTTCCACTGCTCTGGTTATCCTGGTCTCCGTTAATGTGTACAGCTCTACATGGATGCATAGATGTTGCTCCGATTCCTTTGGAAAGCAACCATCACCACGATACGTTATCGTCAAAGTTGCCAAATGTACAATTTACCGCCCGTGTCGTAAGTGTGAATTTCACTAGACAGGAAGTGACAAGGCCTCAAACTCTGAGCGTGCGTTATAACGTTACCATTGAACCGCTTCTCGTTTCCGTGCATGCTCGTAGCGGAGTGGCTAGAAGCCAGCCTGTTTTTAGTCATCGGCCATGAATCGGGTCGGAACGTTATACATTGATATTCCTTTCGGCGAGGAGATGCTATGAACGGTGTTATAAATCGGTTGCACCTTATCCCACAAACTTCATCCAGTCGCAATTTGGACAAGACATATCCCTCTTCATTAGCGGTACGTACATTTCTCCTATAGAATGCTCGTACGTTTCGTAACGATTAAATTCTTTCGAACCTGTGCTTTCATTAGACCCCGAACAAATGCAGTCTTTGTACAAATTTTCTCATACGTACAGAATCTATGAGTCATTACCTCTTCATTCCATTGCACCGAACTTGATATGGAACCTATTCTTAGTAAAGCACATTGTGCTGTCTGCTTTTATGACAATGAAGTGCGCGGAATATCTTCAAGCCTACCAGGATAGTCAGCAGACTACAATAAAGTGCGACCACCGCTTCTGAATACCTAATCCTCTGCTGAGCCACCTTAATGGTCCAAGAGCTCTTGTCCTCTCCTCTCAAACACCGGAGTTAATGCCCGCGGCGTATAGGGATAACAGTGTCCAACTGTGACGTTATCCACTGCAAATGCATACACAAATACTCAAGCAATGTTCTAACCTAGTTGCATAGAAGTAAGCTACACTTGCGGATGAATTGAAAGCTCGTGTGCCTTACCTTGCGGTGATAACTCATTATTCGGCGCGGTGGCTGTTGAACCTGAGAAATCATATAGATTATTATCCACACACCGAGGCACTACTAATACATACGTGAACAGCTTCTAGGCTCTTTTATCCCGCATCCCGAATAGCATATCGTAAAGTAGCTTTTAGGCGCAGTGCTTTCCTAGAACGCTAGACCTCTTTAGGAGCTGTACTCAATCGCGTAACTCGTCTCCCTCCCTTTGATATTTCTCGGGGTGAACTCACACGATGAGACGCTAGGCGTGCGCCGAAATAGATATATCACTCTAGAGCGTACGGGAGAAGAGGCCCTCGAATTGTGTGAGACACGATAAGGTGCCGGCATTATTTTTTCGGGAGGCCAGACCTTTCTGTGAAGCGCCTCTAGAGATCATTTAATCAATGTTCTGCCGCTTTGTGCTTGCACAAAGAGATATCCAGTGAAACGATGAGTCCATAGCTCCAGAAACCACTTGCACAGTATGTCTGTGTTGACGTCCGAGTAATATTTCGTATATGATATTTATGTATTTATGACGCTGTATGACGCCTGAAGCTCTTTATAAGATCGTGGCTAGTGCAAAGCATGACCGTGGTGCAAAAAACCCAACTCTTCAGAGGAAGTGTTGTGACATCTTCCAAACCGCTTTCGGGTAAGGGAAGCGCACGTACGTTTCCTGTACATGCTGGTATGTAACGGCAACTCGGCGTAGAGACATTTCGTTATCACCGCAGGAGCGATAGCCGGTAAGCATCGTGAAGACACATTGACAGCCGAAAGGACATCAAGAGGACTCGGCAAAGAGCCCAGATTCTAGTTTCTTCTTTTTCCTCGCAGTTTGGCTCTGCCTTTCAGAGCTATATGCAAAAGAGGTAGATTCAGAGTCCGTCTTCTTTGTTGTAGGACTTGGACTAGCCCCGGATCCTTCCTCATCCCGCTCTCGCTTCTTGCTCTTCTTCCCTTTCACACTCGAGGCTCTGGGTGCATCAACTCCTGCGGGACGAAGGAAGCTTAATGGACCTTTCCCGATACTGGTGACCGTTTTGCCGGAATCTGGTGCAGAAGTAGAAGACTTGACTTCGACTTCTGTCTTGACGGGGGCGGGCTCCTTGCCTTTTAGTTTGCGTATCTGACGTATGTCCATTCCGACCGCGGCGGAGGTCTCGCCAGAGATCATGGACAACACGGGAACCTCCGATACGGATGAGAGTTCCGTAGGTAAGCGAGCTGCACGGTCCAGTATTTTTTTGGTGCGTGCCTTCGAAAGTGGTCCACCACTTCGTGTGAAACGGGATTTTGGCTGCTCCGTTGAGGGCTCAGAAGACACTGTGACATCTTCCTCCGCTTTCACATCTGCTCCTGCAGGGCCATCTACAGAAGTCGACTATGCAGGACGGAATAAAGCTACATCAAAGTTTCGTAATGACATCAAGAAAAATGCATACTCACGGGCGACACAATTTCTCCTCCTTTAGCAAAGGTTCGCCGCCCACTGAGTTTTGCGGAAGTGAAATGTTCCGCAGCATCTTCGGCATTTGATGGTGTACCAGAGGTTTGGAAGGATGGGAATAGAAACGGTAAATATGAGGTTTCCTGGGCAATCGTCTGTCTGAATGGAATGCATTGGAGGACCGTCCATTTTTGATGTGAACATGATGGAGGAAATGTATTGGCACTCACTTGGTTTGGCCACTGGAATTCGAGCCCAGCCCTAAAGCCTCTCTGACTTCTTTAGAGACTTCCCATTCGGCTTCGTCCTTTACCTTGGCACGTTCCAAGTCTACTGCAGCCTGTTGCTTTGCGCGAAGTGCATTTTGCATGAATCGTAAGCCTAGCGTTCCATTGCTGAGCGTCTTGCCACTCGACATGTGTCTGGCAAATTTTGGGGAAGACTGTGCCCGAGGTAATGCACAAGACGAGTTTTCCTGCAGCCCACAGAGAGTTCAAAACAAGCAGGCAATACTAAGCAACTATCTGCCCACAGAAACGAGCAGAGAAATTATTCGAGTCGTGTAGATATGAGGTGAGAGAGAGAGGAAGGGGACGCCAAAAACAGTAAGTCTACAGGGGATGGCGTCAAACAAAGCCAAACTGCACAAATTGTGACTCCAATCTGTGGCGGAATCGCTTTCTCAGTGGATCGCATTCATCGCTTGCTTTGCTATTCCTCTACAACACTCAAAGAACATTCTGTAGGTCAGATACACTCTACAGTCACCGGAAATTACTTATATTAGCCATTTTAGGGCGTTATTTCTTTGAACACAAATTTTCAACGATGAGCAAGTCGCAGTTTTATCTCTCGGAATGTGCGCAGGCAGCCGAGAAGTCGCCCATGTGTTTCAAGCTTGGAGCAGTTATGGTGAAAGGTGGTAAGGTTATCTCAACGGGACACAATCATCATCGACCGCATTATGATGGGGCGGAGGTTCACCGACATGGCCATCGAAAGCCTGTATCGATGCACGCTGAGATGCATGCGATCTTCAGTCTCACGGGCATGTCACCGTCTTTCAGGAAGCAGGTTCAAGGGGCCGAGCGGCGCGTTCCACAACGGGCACCTCCACAACCATGTCGGACACGAACATCAACAAAAGTCCGAAGAGAAAGAGAAGAACAGTCGCCGATCCCCAAAGGGTCTGCCGCCTCTGAAAGTTGCCTTTCAGGGGCCCACAGCGAGCAAACGTACTCGGAATGTGAAATCTGGGAAGAAATATCAGAAAAGAATGACGCGGAGTTCCAGTCCGAATGGTCACGACCGAGGTCGAAGTACGAAGCAATCGTCGCCACCGATGAGCGACAGCAGTGCGGATGCCAGTTGCAGCGAGGATGGGAAGACCTCTCCCGGCAGCTTGCCCTCGCCTGAAGGCCTTGTGCCTCTTGATTCCGGATTTAAGGCGTCTCGGTGGGATGCACGGCGCCGTGACCCTAGAATGAACGGAGCAGATCTCTACGTAGCGAGAATAACTAAGAATGGCTGTGGAAATGCTAGACCGTGCTGGAGGTGCTTGGAATGGTGTAGATGGGCCGGAATCAAGCGGATTTTTCACTGGAACGAAGTCTCAAACCAGTTTGACGTTGTAAAAGTTAATAATCATTCGGCGGACAAGTACGAAACGCATGCGGATATTCGTCTGTTCGCTGGTCTTGTACGCCAGCCATATCCTTTTCTACACTCTGCTTCCAATCCCACTGACTTGCCTTTTTCCAGGGTTGGTAGTATTTATTGGAGTGTTGTTGTCCAGACTTTACAGGTGTATCACTTTCCTTTACATTTTACGACTCATGACATATATCACTATCGGCGGAACAGAGCTGCAGAACCGCTTCAACTGTACTTGCGATTATTAAACGTGTTGTTGTCAACAGGTTCCGAATTTCAATGATCGCAGTGTGGAAGACAGTTTTGTCTACAGGAATTACTCCATCCCGGCAACTGCTCTCTACTCCTTCTGCGATGGGTAGTTGAGTTACTAATACGGGAGAGAAGAACTGTTCTACTAAAGGCATCTATTTAGCTGTGGCTCGATTAATAACGGCCATAAGCTTTATTCCTTGCCTGACATTTTGTTGCACCCGTCACCCGGATATAGACAGTTTGAGCGAGCTCTCAGTATTTTCGGTATCAGGTGTCGATATGATCGGGGCTCATCTGGACTGCGAAAAGTAAGTGAGAAGCGAGGATAAGGCGACGTTGCACGTACTATGTTTACACTGTACTCGGGAACGGTAATGTTGGTGTTAGACAAGGCTGCCATTTCATATCCGTAGTAAGTCGGACATAAACTCGCTTCGATGTGATGAATTGGTTCACCCTGTTCGTAGATGTATTATTGATATCACGACACCCTAGCGCTCATCTTTCGCTGGCGTGTTGTTCAATGCTTTCTCTGAGTTGGCCGATCACTTCTTTCGAAATGACTTGTCCCACCTTGGTTACTTGCGCCTCCGTGAATTCATGGGCGTTAAGATTTTTCTGGTGGGGAAGAGCATCATATCGGCACAGAAAATCGGGCGTGGATTCAGTAATTTTGTTTGACTGTCTCCGCCCTATCAGCGTGTCTGACATTTCTATCTCTATCCATTGCGTTTATGTTCATGAGAGGTTTACGGGGGGTTAGCCTATCGATCGAACTGGATTGGCTCCTGACACCTGTGGATCCGACCCGCTATACGTTACGCACAAAATGGTATACATATTACGTTAGGGTATCGAATTAATGTGACGCTTTTATCTAAATGTGCAAAACAAGACTTTGCTATGCTAGAAATAGAGTGATGCTTTCCTTCTTTGTTCGTAGGACGGTAGTATGCTTCCTCCGCTGTCACAGGCATCCAATTTTGCTCATAATAATGGTGTAGACAGTACCATATGCGCGCGTATGTTTTGCGGCATAACTAAACGCTCGAGCGCTACATGATACATTGTCGTTTGAAAATTTTCCTGTATTTGAGAAGGCAGTGGCATTGCGTAAAAGTCTAGTGCAGGTATAACAGTACCAATGCAGTTGTCTTCAGACAAGCATGGTCCCCCAGACCGAGATTATGTCGTAGATAGAATGGCAAGAAGGGAAGGGAAGTAATGCGGCAACGACAAAATGCCTTATTTTGTGCTATTTAAGAAAATTATTCCCAGTGGATAGCCTAACATTGAAGGTCGTGTCTCAAGGAACCCGCATTGCAATACATTTATTTCTTCCATTTAATGGCGTGAAGGGAAGTAGATGGTAAAAACACTGAGGGGGACACGCTCTAAACTTTTTCAATGCTGAAAGTGCATTTTGTATTGATACTTCAGCTGTACTAGCGCAGTTCCACCCCCCTAGACTGAGATGACTCCGCGAGGCATGGAATCAAGGAGTTAGGGAATTGCTTACCTCAAATTGGCTCCGGTGGTACATTGTTAACATGCCACAACTACTCAACACAGCAAGTAGTCATAATCTTCTTCTTTGCAATTTATGAATGGGAACGGCGCAGAACGGACGGTAAAACGTATCTACAATAGTATACGGATAAGCTTACAATCAAATCCAATGGAGTGAATCGGATACATGAAATGAATTAGCTATCTCCTCCAAAGCGGATGATAATGCGTGGTAGAACTCACTGCGTGAGAATTATTATATGTTCCTCCGATAACCGGCTCATGAAATGACACTGCAGTCTTCTCCTAAATGCACATACATTGACTGGTTCTAAGAACCGTTTCACATCGTGGCGTCCACTTCATATGGTCCTGAGACTATGTGCCTGCATGCAGACACACATATGCAGATGACTCAAGAAAGAAGAATCAGAGTTTATGCGCAAAACTATTATCCTGCTTTCGCGGGAGAACCACGACGGAAAAACTTGTGGAGGTATAACGGCAGCAGGTAAAGACTGAGACCTAGACAGCAACCGGACTTGTGGTTCCTCTTGAGAAGGTCGTTTACTGGCACCGAGTGTATTTGATATTTGATGAATCAAATTCTGGAGCCACCTGTCTTCGTAGAATTTGACTTCGGGAACTTTCCTGACCTAGCAACACGTTGGTGATGTCTTGTGGTTGCGTTGTGCTCTGCTTGTTCCTGATCTGCATTGTTCAATGCGGTGAGCGCTCAGAGCGTTGAAGTAACAAGTGATGATGTGATCTTACTTTTCATGGAAAGAGATATACACTCCAAAATAGGGCAATGCGTATGGATCAATCACCTAGCGAAAACGCAGCCACTTGAATTGCCAAATAAAGGTGTACATCTGCAGGCGAATTCCGGGGAATTCCAGCAAGGAATTGGACTAAAAACATATGCTCGTAGGCTGCATGGGGACCTGAAGCACGTGCCGAGTGTATAGGCAGCCACAGACCGGGAACCGCTGAAGAAGTCGCAAATGTACATATTCGCTGACTTGAGTCCGATCCGGATTGTTAAACAAGTTATTGCCGTGGCTTGCCGTCATGCTACACAGTTGTTGTATTGTTATGCTGTATTGTTGTATGCAGCGTCAACATGCTTTGATAAAATGGAAGTTTATTGACCGCCCATGAGGGAAAGCCGAATGCCAGTGCGACATTGGCGGGTCGTTGCATAAGACTTCTTCAATATATTGTGGCACAAAGTTCAGCAATCAAGCTCTAGCAGGTATATAAACAGGCCGTCAAGAAGGAATTATTGAGGTGTCTTCCATCATGTCTGGTGCGATCAGTGGCGTTTCAGAGTCTAAGATTCTTAGAGTGTGGAAAGCGTCCGATAGTCGTGCTTCAGGTGTTATGTAATAAGTGACATTGGAAAGGGTCGTGAAATACTCAGCTAATTTTCTGCACCAAAATTTTCCTTATGGCTGAAGCTAGGGACCAATGAAAGCGGTTTGGACGGACGTTGGCTTGTGCCGATGCCAACTCAACAAGGACAGACGAGTGTTGCAAAGCAGACAAACAAAATATGGACCAACCAGTCCAAATTATGAGGTATACTGCACGTGATTTGACCAATAATAATACAGCCAGACAGATATAAAATAATTTCTTTTCTTATATACATACCAAATCTTTCTTGACTTTTGTCTGCAAGTTGTATAGATATCTGTAATAGTTCTACCATTCTCCAATTCCTACCCTTCTGTGCTCACCATTATAATTTGTATAGTCAAAAGTTATCTTCTATAATCTCTAATTTCTATTACTAAGCTTAAGCTCATGTACAAAATAATATCAAGCTAATTAAGAATGCTATTTTACTAGTACATACATTGGATAAATATAGAAGAAAAACTAGTAGAAGCAAAAAATATTTTAGAATAGAAAGGATAGAAAGAATCTCTTATTGCAGAAACAACATAAACAGAATAATCTATTAATCTTACAGATAAAGATTTACTTCTTGTCTGAGTCCTGCCTTCTAGTAGTATGTCCTCCTTTTTCACTGGCATTCTTTAAGCTCTTCTGTTTATTCATTGGGTCAGACTTATTACTTGTATTACTGTTGTTCTCAACTGTCTTAAACTATAAAAATTAAAATATTAGTACTTAGCATTAGTCATATGTGAGCAGTCTAGACTCTAACCCCATTTTCCAGAAGGGATTCTGCAGATGGTCTGTTTGGATTGATGTTTAGACAGCAATGCATGAAATCTCGTGCTTTACATTTGATTGACATATAGTAAGACACTGCTTCCACATGTAGAGCTCCTCTACAGTAGCTTACCTTTTTTGCTTATACCATGTGGTAGTTTGGGTAGAATGTACTTCTCAATGTGGTCATTGGTGATGGCCTGTGCTATTTCAATATCACGTGAAACAGGGAGTGTGGTAGGTATTGCATGTTCTGGGATTTCTTCGGTTACAAGACGCCCGGTTAAGAGTGTGAATGCTGTTGATCTGAGGAGGATGAGCCAGTCTCCCGTATAAAGAGCGCCAAAGTAAGTGATTACCCAAGCGACCAAATGTCTACTGTTTCTGTATACCATTTTTGCTCCGAATCAGATAGCCTAGTAATTTCTGGTGCCACAAAGCCGTTACTTCCACAAACATTCCATACCATATTATCTTTGCTATGGACAGCACTAGGCGAATTGCTGGTTAGGTTGTACAGGAATGGGTGAAGCTGCGCTTACCATCCGAAGTTGCTTAGTAAAAGATTGTCTTTAGTGGGGTCAGAGGAATGGCTATATGCGTCTTTAATGAGAAAATTTCCAGGTCTAGAAAATAGCAATAAGCCACTGCATACTAATCTCTCATACAGAACATGCGGCCTACTTGATGTCTCTGTGTATTACGTGCTTTGAATGAATGTAAACTATTGCTTTTAGCATTTGCCTCCAAATACGAGGTTAGTTGTAATATCGATTGAGAAACCATAAAGTAAGAATCGCACCTTAAATAGTGTGCTGTAACCGGTTCACTGAACTGCTTAGCACGACGCAGTCGGTCATCTAGGTTTCCTCCACGAGCGTAGTCAAGAATAATGACCCAACAAATTTTGTTCTCGAATGCTCCAAAGTAGTTTATCTTCACGCATTAGTCACCTTACCTTCTGTCTCAGATAATTTCTTGAACTTACCACTTGCTCGTGCTTTAGTCTTCCTAATATCTTTGCCTCGTTCCTTGCGGACCTCCATGCCTCTTTCTTTTCATCATATTTCTTGGCTTTAATCCATTCATACCCACGAGGATTCATCTCTTTGAAGACTACTTTGGCAGCAAACTTCTTCGGTCGTCCGTCTTCTATGAGGTCATCTCGTTCATTAAGCTAACAGAATTACGTCTCAATCAAATACGTTTTACTTCGTATGTGGAAGAAGGGGAAGTCTGTGGACTTACAAATACTCTGGCAAATGACCCTTTTCCAATGTCGCCTATAAGTTTTAGCTGTCGTGGCATATAATTGTCCTTGCTATGCTTTGCACACGTCCAGTTAGGATCGACTTTTTGACTGGTGGACTTATCTTGAATCAAAGGCACCAGGTCTTTCAAGACAAAAGGCCACTCCGATTCTGACATTATCCTAACCTGAAGACTATCTGTGAAAGAATGTGGAACTTTGATCACTAAATATTCGAACTGCTGAAGCAAGGGAAGGAGCAATTCAACTCACACGAATAACACTGTTGGCTTTAAAGTGAGCTTATGCGTTGCAAAGTGTTGTTGGCGCTGCGTAGTCTAAAGTAATTATAGCACTCGTTTGCATCGAAAGACAAAGTAGTCAGTTTCAAAATACAAAGAAAATGGATTTTGTGTACTTGTGTGTTGATTCAAGCTTAAATAACTTCTTGACAACCTACACATTCCACTGTTAGACTGTCTACAGACTTCCAAGCACAACGTCAGGATACGAGTTACTTTCATAGTGCTAGACCAAGTCCGAGGCATGATCGGATTTCCCCGGGCGACAATGCAAGGTTCCAAAAGGAGCAATAACCAGACCACTTCAGAATTATTGTATTTAGAATTACAAACTTAATGAGAGAGCATTATATATAGGAACGAGTCAAGTAACTATACTTGATAGAAACTGTTCTGCCTGTACAGATACATACATTTCGAAGATAATAATAAAACAATTTTCTTTCAAAATCTTAGACGGAAAAAAGGAACAGAACTACAGCAAGATTGATTATATTCCAGTAATTAAGTTCCCATACAGATACCAAGATGACGAGCTAGAAAGGAAAGAGAACAAGGAGAGAGATGTCATATCCCATTCCGTTCGAGGTGAGGTTATGTATAGAGATAATAGACGAACGAGAACGGGATAAACATTTAAAACGAAACAATGGGGGTCATGAAGGGTCGTAAAGTAAGATGTGCACTTGTAACACAGTATACGATATACCAAGACAAAAAGAAAAGAAAAGTAATACATCGTTACATGCATACGTAATAGGAGGAGACCAAAAAGACCCAAAACATGGTGAACTTTTCCAAGGAAGGAGCCCATATAGATAGGGAAAAAGAGTATTCCAGGAAATCCATACTATCACCCTCGAATTCGCCACCCATCACCCTTCCGATTAACCTTCCCAACACCCCCAAATCCCTCCCGTACGACAATCCAAAACGCCGTACAACTAAGCACGTCCTTAATCTCTTCCGCAGTTAATATCAAACCTTCATCATCAGGCCCTCCTCCTCCCCCATTACTCCCACCATTACCGCCGAACATACTCCGCGTTCGCGGGCGATCTCGTTCGTCCCGATCACCACCACCAGCTCCAGACGTCCCAGGACGCGATGAGACAGGCCGAGCAACTCCAGCGGGTGTAAGAACCCTCCGTCGAAGTCGCGCACGTGCAACTTCGATATCAGGTAGTGGGTAGGGTACCTTGAGTTGTGCGACGACTTTGGGGTGGTGCGGTGCTGGCGAGAGCGCACCGACTTTGAGCCTGAGAAGCGTTCCCGGTGCATCTGGTCGGGATTTTGGCGGTGGCGGAGGCGGAATTTGCGCGTCACTTGAAGTAGAAGTAGGAGGAACCGCGGTCGCAGTCCCGGCAGAGGAAGATCCTTCATATGTGCTACTGATTTGAGAGCGTCGGGAGTGTTCTTTTCCAAGAGGATGATGTAATTCAACAGGCTCATATTCCCATAATTTCGAGGGATTGGAGGGCATGCTTGACACAACGACCGTGCACGACCAAGGTGTTTCCGAATCTTCAGGGTCGCTCTCCTCTCCATCGTCCTCTTCTATAGCACTTCCTCGTAGTGCAGCCTGCGCCTCTTCGGACAAACTCGCACTAGTTAACGAGTTCGTCCGCGAATCACGCGAAGCCTGCTCAACCGATCGTTTTGATTCACCAGACATACGGGGTGTTGTAGGTCCAGCCCCGGACGCTGCATCTGCCTTTCGAGCACGACTTCTACTTTTCTCTTGACGTCCACCAGGCACTTCAGTCGCAAGACTTCTTCGGGAACGCGAGGCGCCGCCTTCCTCCTGCGAGAAATTCGTACTACCGCGCTTCCCGAGGGCCGCTTGCCCAGCGCTCTTACGTCGTCTTCCTTTTTCCTGGCTCTTCGATTGCCCCCGAACCCACTCAAATCGCACTTCCACGCCTGCATCGATTCCATTCCCACTGGAACCCATAGATGAACCTGGAATGCCTCCGCCAGCGCGTTCGGCCAAGCCGGACATGCCAATGCCAGCACCCACCATACCCACGCCGCGCATGACACCGCCGAGCAGCCCGCCTTCAGATCCTTTGAGCCATTTCCGCACTATCCACACGTATCGTGTTGGACGACCAGCAGGGGGGTGTGATGGTGCAGATAGGGTCGGCTGTATGCCGAGAATTGCCGGCTGTAAGAACGGTTGGGTGCCTGATGGTTGACCCGGAACTGGCGGTATAGTGAAGTGCGATGGCGTCGGAGAGGACGCGTTGAGTGACCGACGCTTACTTGCACCAACAGGACTAAAGCCCGACCCGTGACCGGATTCGCTGCCAGGAGGCGACGCAACCACCAGACCTCGGATGTCAATTGTCACGGAACCGCTTCGCGAATGTGATCCGCCGGATTCGGCAATATCTGTGCCTTGACCATCCCGTTTCTTGAATATCTTGCCAAAAATACGCTTGGCGCCAGATTGTGACGGCGTCGGCGTGACGCTGCCTCGAGATGTGTAACTGGATGACGTCGCTGCCTTCGACGTCGCCTGCGTAGGTGTTGTATGCACATGTGGCGGGTGCGAACCCGCTGAAGAGAGCGAGATTGCCGAGGAAGTTGGCGTCACGGCCTGAGGTTCGGCGTCTTAGATTTTGCAGATTTCGGGATTCACATTTTTAGTAAGAATGCATACACTAATAAGAAACATGATGAAGTGCAAACTCACCAAGTGTACCAGCGGCAGCGCCGGCGTTTGCTCCATTTGATGCGCTCAGGAACGCGATATGGCCCGTCCCCCTGCGCCCGTAGCTCGGCCAGACCTCGACACATTCGAGAATGGCGAGTCCAAGTACCTCCATACTTCGTTTGTGAAACTTTGCGACCTTTGCGTCGGTACCGGCGTCAAGTACAGTGTTAGTCATAACATTATGCGCGCTAAGATTATACAGTGGCACAATCATGCGGCGGCCACCTCCGGCCGAGGTCGTGGAGGCAGACGACGCGATTGAAGACATAGACACCGACGAGGATGACGCGTAGAATGAGGTCAGATTGGAACTGCTTGAGTGCAATGATTCGGCGCGTGAGAGCGTCTCACCGCCTTCTTCGGGCGCTTGAGCAGAGTAGTCTACAGAAGCACGATTTGACATGTTCGACAGACCGGAAGCGGAAGATGTTCCAGAGACGGATCGCTCCTTCGCTTGAGGTGGGACTAGCTGAAGCTGTAAATTGAGCGGATGATTTGACACCGACGGCGGCGGTCGCACGACGATGAACGTCTGCAGAGTGATCAAAAGACAGGTGGAGAATCAACGATGGCGTCGTGTCAGCTTGTAGAGTAGCGTGCGTGGCAGATTAGACGGACCTCGTTCGGATTACGCTCCCGCTTCTTCTTGACACCTTGCTCGTCGACAGCATTGTCTTTCAGCTTACCATCGTTGTCATTTGGGCGCGGAGTTTCCTCCTCGGTGGCGCGCTCCCTTTCACGTTCTTTGTCCTGTCTCTCGCGCTCACGCTCGTCCTTATTCCCACCGAAGCCAATACCGGATGGGAGAAGCGATGAGAAGGAGGCCAGCATAGCTGGTCTTTATCGTCGAGCTAGATTGTTAATAATAATGTTGACGTGGGAGAGATATGGAGCGAAATAGAGTGCGGGAGAGGATAAGAGAGATGGCAAGACGAGGACGTGGAGAGATGTAGCAGTGAATGATCGTCAGACCAAACTTATAACAGGCAATCAGGACGGCACGCGATATCCTTTGCAGCTGTCAGCTTACATCACTAATTCACTTTCGTGGTGTCATTTCTCATTTCTCCAGCTGCGCCCCGCGTCAACTTCCACTCTTTCCCCTCGTTCGCAGCTACGAAGTTGACAGCAGCAGGCTTGATTTTCGATCTATTTCTGCTGCCATCGCATCAGCTCGCGACAATTTGCCAAGAGCATTTTTCTGAGAATTTCCAGAGGAAGTGTTTGTTGCCGATCGACGCGGCCACTCGCAAGAAAGTGCGACCGCGACAACCCAAAAGGGGAAATACCGATCAATCAATACGGTAAATAAATAAAATAAATGCGCCGCACTTGCGCTCGCGCTGTCCGAGATTCCGGCTCCGACTAAGCACCAAGCTCAAGTTGCAACAGTCCTGTAAAATGTACACCTACCTCCATGTCCGCGCCGACAGCGCTCATGGGCGCTTCGGTGACGAGCTCACGTTTCGCAAAACAATCCAAGGCGCACTCGCTCAGTCTTTTGGCGCGAGTGGTGCAGGGACGTACGTTGACGTACTGCGGTTTCGCTGCGCAAGAACAACGACAACGGAACAACATCACAGCGCAGTTGTTGTCAACGGATACGCGCATGAGAACGACGTTGACGACGCCGTGATCCGCGTGGCGCGTGAGTAAGTATGAACTTCGTTTTCTTCTGTTTTCGACCGGTTAGTTCGTTATTTTGTACATCGTGCCGGCATCCGCAGTGACCGCAGCGACACGAGCTGTCATTCGTACTTTCTCGATATCCTATTTAAAATTAATGTGCCTTGAATTGCGTCTGAATGGATTTTTTATTTACAAACAGTGACGCCCCGAACATCAAAGCGGCCCTCGCAGCCGCCCCAATCCGCCTCTCAATAGTAGACGAATCGCATTTCCTCCCGGCGCTGCTTGCCTCCGAACCCCTTCCCCATCCAGAAGATTAAATATCCACCACTCACCCTACTTCATGTACTTAGAGCATTCGATGGGGGCTACTAGCAGGATCCGTCCGACTCCACTCCACTCGTCTAAAGGCATCTGACTGGATGGATGGATGGATGATACGGAACGACTTAGAAGACGCCACGCAACTAAAATATTGTCCGACATATTCGCAAATTCTTCCTGCTTGCTCTACAATGTCACACCGTCTTATACTGCCACCGTGAAACTCGACTGAAAACCCACACTTTATCGCATATACCGTAATGCAACTTGACCAGTCAATTCCGAGCCTACGTCCGAACAGGTGCAGCTGGAACGAACAACACAACTGAGCGGATGGACGGAATTACTTACTAATCGAGACTCCGTCCTTGTGATTTCACGACGACATCTCAGCCGTTTTTGAGATAGATTGTCCTCCCCTCCATTTCTCGTTCCTGATGAGTCAACAGGAGGTTGAGTGTTAGGAACGGATTGCTGATTACAGGCCGCCCATTACAGATCATTCCAGTGAGCCATCGAGTACCTCAAAGGCCCAGATCCGAGATAACGAGTCAGTAAAAAAACATTCGTCTCAGCTCTACTCCATGAATTCAGGTTATCATAATGCTTCATTCCACTCAAGGCATGTCTGAAATCCATCATCAATTATGGTATAGTCCATTCTTTTAAAGCAATGTGTTTCAACACAGGAAAACTAATATTGAACCAGAAATACCATGTCAAACACCATCTACGTTGAAGATCTCGTTCTGCCAAGCATCTACAGTCTTTCTTGCCGCCTCTCGGAGGTTGAGAGATATTCTGCTACCAACAACACAAAAGCTGGCTTTGACGACGGGTTGGAATAGTGCAGTCAGCGAACTTCGCTCGATGGGCAGAATTAAGCCGAAAGTGACTGCAGAAATAGATATGCCTTGTCGAAAATTGAAATTAGATGGATGCATTGTAGCAGGGATTTTCGATTCTGAGGTCCTCACCAAACATGACACTGTAATAGAAGAAACCGTCTCGAACGAGGACAGTAACGAGACGTGCTCTATGAGCTAGAAAATACAGTTGTTAATGAATTGTGTATAAGTCGAGGACTGGAAGTGTGTTCATACCTGATTGGAGGGCCCTGTATAACGTCAGGCCAAATATTACTGTGTCAAATGCAGTCATTGTGACAAAGATAGGCATCACAGTATCAGAATCGAATCCGATTATCCTGCCTTGGCAACCAAGAAGTGGTATGAATAACGAGCTAACCTGCTCTCCGAATCGTACTTGGAGTATAAATAAGTAAAAAGCATATAAAGAGGCGAAAAACAGAACATACGGTTCTCCTCAATACTGATCCGAATCAATAGGACAAGTAATGTTAAGTCCGTGGCCTGAAAAATTGCAAGTCGCGATTGTCTTTATGAACGCGCAAATACAGCTGTTAGTTTTGTTTTCACTCACAATAGTGGTTGAAAGAAGTACATAAATGATAGATCGGCTCTTTCCCCACAGAGCAGTAGTGCGTAGTATAATAATGGCTCCAGAGAATATTAGTATTATCATCTGAGAAAGAATTTGCAGATTAAAATATTCACCTTGCAAAGGGATCATGAATACTAAAGCACCCCTGTACACAATAGCAACATACCACCAGTATTTAGAAACATTAGTAAATGCACAATATGCATGGTACTCACCACGTGGAGAGATGCATTTCTACTTTACAACTTAAGTAAAATAAATGATTCATTTTCAATACTTATATTTATCTGAAAGAACGACTGACAACTTTCAGGCAGTGGTCAGAAGAACTTTTATTCACTTCGAGATAAATTGTACTCACAATAGAAGATTTTCCGGAATTCAACAAATCTGAAATGAAAATATCAGATTGCATTAGAATATAAGATCAAAAGTTTGAAGCAAAATCAACGGCTCACAAATTAAGAAGAGCAGGCTCTCCGACAGTACTGGCCATCTGACCATAAAAAATAGGACGGAACCGTTTGTGCACCTCGAATCCCAGAACAGCAGAAGCTAGGGTAATTATTCAGCAGGCTTTTCTTGTCAGTACAACTTTTTTTGCACATGCCTCTCTGCAAAGTATTATATTAAAATATTTTAAGCTGTGTACAGGTTAGAGAAGGACTTACTCTGGGAGCGTTAAAAGGTTACTATATAACATAACTACGAACGCTGAAACTGAGGTTGCAACTCAATCAATCTCATTATTCTGAACGGTCTTTAAACGAGTTATCCACCTGCTACGTACTGGAAAAGAAATTAGACTCCATGCACGGTATAAGGAATAGAGCACATACTTTGACTGATTGCTCATCTTGTGCAACCTGCCGGAGCATCTCAAATGACCCAGACAAGGCCTGTGTGCCAAACGGAGTCGAAGCATTACTAGCCATCCCTTTGTCGTATTGCTGATATTGAACCTGCTACACATAGCACAGACAAATGTACCTATATATGTACGCCAGACGCTGTGGAATGGCCAAAAACAAGATGACTGATGACCCGGCACGCTCCTTTCTTTTTATAAAACGGGTCCTTGATGTCACAAGGTACACAACGGATGCTTCAACAGGAATAGATGGAGACAGCGACAACTGATCCAATGGTTAGATGGATACACAGATTGAAAAACGTACACCCCGTGATACCCGTTTCAGAAATCTGTGCAGACAAGGTAACTGTCGGTCTTTATAGGGAAGAATAGGAAGAGAACGCAACGGCTTTTCAACCCCGCTTTGACGAAGTTTATTGTAGTGTATTATTGAAGCATCAACTTCGGGAACAGGTATATACGAAATCTGGATTTGCAGATTATATGCTCTTTACAGATACTGTACCATGGAAATTGTGTATTCTTTGATGAAATAAATCAGTCGACTGAGTAAAAGTCGGAGGTGAGATGATGAGACAATCGCAGATCAATACTTGTAACGGTAAAAATAGAAAACGGAGATCATTACCAAACTACCACCTCATTAGAAGATCAGAGCACTCGTTGAAATCTTGATATAGTTGCCGCGGTCCGGTCCAGGTCCGGTCCAGACAGGTTTTTGCTGGACCGTGAACCGGACCAGGACCGATTTCTTATGAAATCCTGGACCTCGGACCGGACCCAGCTGGACCTCTTGTGGACTGGACCAGCAGTCCAGTCCAGGTCCGAACCCAGTCCGGACCTCTGGACCAATTATATAATATATATTAAAATAATTCTGTCTTATTAACATATTATATAAGATAGATATACTATTAAGTACTATAATAATATGTTTCTGGATATATGTAAGCTTATATGTATCAGAATACAATTACTTTTATTATTTGTATTATACTAAGTGTAAAACACAAGAAGTACTAGTGTAATAGAAATTAGTTCCTACAGTCAATGTAAACTACTGTTTACATCTGTAAGACACAGTATTGTCAGTAACAGTGTAGAGGGGACCTGAAGGCTCAGCAAGGGGACCCAGGCTACAACTATCCTACACAACAGAAATATGGAATGTAAGTACTAGAATGTAGCCAGAACTTGTAGAACAGGCAGAGAGAGAGAGTGAGACAAGAGTAGAGTATATAGAGTAAGCCTAAGAGTACAGGACTATCTAGAGTAGACAAGATTAAGACTACAGGACTAGTCTGATCTTGTACACCTATATATACTAAACTATACAAGAGTACTCAGGAAGTATAAGCTACTAAGAATGATAAGCTATGAAGAATGAAAGAAAGGAAGGTCAAAGATAAAGGTACAAAGAATGAAGGGATAGACAAAGGGTAAGAGACTATAGAACAAACAAAGAATGAAGGGGTGGTCAAAGGAATGGAATAATGAAGTAAGGAAGGGTAGTAGTAAGAGTTAACACACATATAGTTTATAGACAGCACCCCTGAGAGACAGAAGCCCTGAGTTCTAGTACAGAAGAGTGTAGAACCCTTAAAACTGAAGGTATGAGAGTAGAGAACTGTAACATCACCCTCTCTCTAAAACTAATTGTCCTGATTGGTGAACATTAGGCTTGGTTAGTAGCTTGAGTATAGGTCAGAATAGTAGGGCTTGGAAATCTGTAAGGCTGAGTTTGTGTAGAGTACTAGAATGAAGCTGATAGAAATCTTAGATTGTCTTAAGAGTATGGGTAAGGTTCTTAGCAGGTTCCTAAGTGTACTCCTCAACTGAGTACCCTTTCTAGTAAACAAGGAATTTGAGTTTTCTACACAGTAACTTAGTATCTACTATGTACTCTACTTTGTATTCTGGTTTAGAGCTAATGAGTTCTGGTAGAGGTAGTAGGGGTCTTTGTTGTGAAGGAAAACTAGGATCATAGTACTAAGACAACAGAACCTTGTTAAACACTAAGTGTATACACTTTCATATTGTTAGAAGTTAGAGTTTGTAGGTAGAGGTACTAACCTTCTTTTTAATAACAAAGGGTCTAAAGTACTTATTGTCCAACTTCTTCATTAAGTAATCTAAGGTCAGATTAGTGGCTTCTAGTATAACTTTGTTACTAGGCTAGTAATCCTTAGCTACAGACCTCTTCTAATTATAGTTCTACTTTATAACTTATACTACTTTCTCTAGAAGAGCTTGTACATCCTCTCTAGTCCTGTGTATCTGTTCTACAAAGTCTGTTATAGATTCAGAACTACTGTTCCAGTTTGAAACTGTCTCCTAGTACAAATGTCTCTCATGATTAAGGAAGAATAGGGACTGTCCTATTATAGAGTGTTACTAGTTATTGTGTACAAATTCTGCTAGAGCTAACTATTCAGACTAATCTAATTACTAATAATTAATGAACATTCAGAGGTAGAGCTCAATCTCCTGATTGACTTACTCAGTTTAACTATTAGTCTGTAAATAATATATAGTAGAAGGGTTCCCTTGAATTCTGAGAAGTACATACAAGTTCTATATAAATTTTGACTTGAATTACAGTCTACAATTATGAATAAGCTTCTAAGAGAGTCTGTACAACTAGAAAACATAATCCTAATAGATACATACTATGTCTTTAGAAGTGAGTTCTGTTTGAGTCAGAACTATATAGACTTGCTTAGAGAATTAGTTGACAATTATACAGATAGTGTTGTAACCCTAAGACTTAGGTAGCTTACTAATCAGGTCTACTAAGACTTCTTCCTAAGAGTGATCCAGAATCTAATATAGATGTAGAGGAGTCTAAACCCTTATCTAGTAAGCCTTAGTCTGTTAGTACATATTGTAACTAGTTACATACTTTAGGATTTCCCTCTACATTCCTAACTACTAGTAGTTCTGAGTAATAAGTTCCTGTGTTTTGTGTCTACCTAAATGTTCTATAGTCAGATTGTTATAATAAGCTTAGACAATGTTCTCCTACAGCTTTCAATCCTTTAGAATGTACAGTCAGCCTTTCTAGTAAACCTGTCCATCCTTGTCCTTCTCCTAATCCTTAGCTTACTTCTCTAACTACTTTATTATAACCTAGTTCTGTGTGTGTCTTAGAGCTTACTATATACAGGTGACAAAGTTAATATTCTTAGATTTGAGTTAGATCTCTTAGATTGTCTTAGACACAAAATGGGAATTGTCTAGGAGAACAAGATTTTTGTTATTATTCTCTCCCCTTTCATAACTTACTTGTCTTAAGAGTAAATCAGTTTTTGTCATTTGTGTTCTAGGTTTGTAGGTTAGTATAAAGTCATAGTTCTATAGTTCTAACATTTAGCAGGCTTGACAGTAGTTGAGCTTCTAAGGTACTTAGAAGTACTAGAGATTAAGGTGATTACTCTAAATCTTAAACTTCTGTATAGTACTAAGGAGATATTAACACTACTCCTCTAGAGAACAGACAATTGTAAAGAGTTCCTTATTATAGATAGAGTAGTTCTGTTCTGTTACAGAGAGGGATTCTAATTAGAACACTATCAGATACTACTTTCTGTCAATGAACTAGAATAGTACTACTCTATTTGTAAAGTTAGAAGAATCAGCTTTGACTCAGAACTTGTCTACAACTGTTAGAACTGTTAATACAGGCTTACTAGTAATAGCCTGCTTGAGAGACTCAAACACAGACTGTTACTAATCATCCTATTGTCAAGGAACATCTTTACTAGTAAGATTGTGAAGAGGCTAGGTAATAGTACTAAAGCTGTAAATAAAGTATTAGTAGTAG